CGTTCCCTTCCCTCCTCCCCCTCCCCTGGATCCACCAATGAAAGTTCTTGTCCATATGAACCTCAATGCTTACTTGTTCAGCACCGTAAAAAAATACAAAACTTATAAACTTCCCACACAGGGTAAATTTGTGGGGCTCTAGTGTAAAAGCAAAGTACGGGAGTCGAGTTACGTGGCAAAAAGGTTACGGAAACACTTAGCAATGTCCAAAAAAAACTCACCTGAACTGGAATGTTGCATCTTTTGGTTGCGGTAATATTTCTGAAAGAAGAAAAAAATACATGAAAAATTCATGAAAGAAGAAATTTTTTGGATTAAAAAAACCAAAAAAATTACTGAAATATTATGAAATATGTTGAACAATGCGGTGGATACTAACTGGAGTTATGCAATTCAGGACCGAAAGCAGTGGGGCTGACATAGTTGCGTCCGGTGTGTGTGTGTGTGTGTGTGTGTGTGTATGTGTGCGTGTGTGTGCGTGTGTGTGTGTGCGTGTGTGTGTGCGTGCGAGCATCCCAGTAACATCACTAACATGAAAAATACGAACTGATAGCCCGGGCGGTCGTGATACTCTTGAACAAAAAACCCTTTAAAAAAAGACAGTACGGGCTACGAAAGCTCTACCAGCATCACATGAATAACCAAGGACGGAGTAATGAGGGGCAGGGAGGGGGAGAGCTAGGAAACACAAATTAAAAAGAACGGTCCAGCCCCGCGACAGCACAGCACTAATAATTCGAAAGGGGTGAAGACAAGAAAACATTGTTAAGTGGGAAATGTATGTATAAACCGTTGTATGTAAATCTGAAGAAAAAAATAAATAGCAATGCGCACCAGACTAGCCGGTGCGATCATGCATTTTGTGCAACTCAGCCCATCGAACGATTACCCATTAATGATTTTCACTGCTTTGTACTTTAGTCTATGCAAAAATAGTTCAAACACTGGAAAAGAGTTGAAAATTTCACGCACCAGCGCATAAAAGCTAAATTCGAAACCTTGAATGGTGAATAACTTCCCGTGATTCCCGAGTTAACAGTTTACCCGCCAAAACTTTCACGACGCCGTAGGTGATACTCAAGAGCGCGGAAATGCTGAATTTGAATGGGCAAGGTTGAGCGTGGGCAGGGGGTCACAGCCCTAAAATTTCAGCTTCCTGGACCACGTGGTTCCCGAGATAATAATTTACCCGTAAAAAACTTTCACGGGGCCATACGTGTAACCTGCGGGTACGGGGAAGCTGAATTTAAATTTGCGGGGTCAAACGTGGGTGGGGAAAGTTCCCCTGAATTTTCAGCTTCCTAGCTTTTGTGGTTCCCGAGTTGAAAGTTGCGGACAAGTTGCCGCGGACACACACACACACACACACACAGACAACCTCGTGACAATATGCGTTTTGTACTGCTGTTACACAGAACAAAACGCATAAAAATATTTCTAAAAAAAAATTCAAACCTCCATCTAAATTCCATGATCCCTGCCCGTTAGCAGCATCGACGTTTACGTTGGGATTTTCGAGCAGTGAAGCCGGTGTGAATGCCCATCGTGCAACACGGAATACATTGAGTTTATTGCCCATTGATAAGACACTTTTTGGTCCGCTCATTGCAACTTTTCGAATGAATGACAAATTTGCGCAACGTGAAATTCGTGGAATTAGCGCCAAATCCATGCTCCCATCACCAATACGAGTGAATGGGGCCAAACCGTACGGTGTGAATGGGCTAACACATGGCACAACACAACAGATGATATGTGAAAATTCGGTTTGTAAATGAAACGGATAATTCCGATCTGCTTCAACACCTCTGTAAAGTGTAAAAAACACTAAAAACAATGAAAAATCATTAAAAATTGGGCATCTGTACGTGAGACCTAGGCGTACGTGAAACTAGTCAACCAGCTGGCGATCCTAACGTTCGTTTCACCCTGATGATCAAAGAGTGGCGCGGTTTTAGCTGCTTCCATTGGCGGATCCAAAGGGGGGAAGGGGTGAGGGTTTTCCCTCTCAGGCAGTAGCTTTTTTACTGTAGAAAACTTTGTTCGATATCCCCTGTCGTTCCCCTCCCCCCACCCCTCCTCCGTCCCCTCAGGAGTTCTCCTCTTCTCCCTCCGGTCGTCGCCGCAGTTTAGGATCGACTAACGAGAGGGGGCGGGGAGGGGGAGGGAGTGGCGAAGCGTCCAACATAGCGACGATAGGGGCAAGGGGAGAGGGAAAAGAGGAGAAAATTGGCAAAATTCCCCCCC